GGTAAGAAATAGAAGAGTAGAATGGAACGATCATATAAGCCGAATGACAACAAATAGAGTAGTAAAGACGGCAAAGATGCCAATAGGAAGACGATCAGTAGGAAGACTACGAAAACGATGGAACGACAACTTGGATGGAGGCACATTCAAAAACAGACAGAGTCATGTGTACATAAAAAGAAGAAGAAGAAATTTATGTACTAAGAAGTCAGGGAACATCCATAAACTACGTCGTAGAGAAAATGGAGAGGTGTCCATATTATGTATGGCCCGTTTTATGTATTTGAATTAAATTATCAATCTTAATTAATTGTTCTTGTTATATTACATTCGTAAATAAAATTTTAGAATTAATTTTAAAAAATCCAGAAATAACATTAAATTTTTTTAAAAATTAATGAAAAGGTATCGACTATAAACGACGCTTTACAACAGAAAGAGAAGGAAAATTTTTTACGACGTAGTTTATGGATGTTCCCTAATGATGACAGATACGAAAACCATCTTTACGACCCAACCTATGCGAAGGCGCCCAGTAGGTCGAGAGATTAAGTGACAATGTGAAGACATACAATAATAAAAAATCAGAATGTCCACTCTCAGATGCCGCCTTTGAAGTTTTTTAGCACGCGCGCCATGTTTTAGAAGGAAACACATAATACAGACATATGATTTGTGAGGTTATGTAATTGTTTATATTTATGTTTAATTATATTATATTTAACAATGTTAATATAATTGTATGGTATGTCTAGGATTGCCGTAAGTCAATTAAATCGGGTTAATTTTTCTATGCACACCACATAAACAACACTGGTTCCCTCTAAAACATGGCGGAACGTCTGCGCGAAGGAGATGCGCGTACTTAATTTTCCATGGATAGTGGGCATTCTGATTGTTTATTATTCTGTGGTGAAGATATATTTGAAAGATATAAATCACAGAGTAGTTACAGAGAGTTAATACACCTCTCGAAATAGCAACACAGGACATAAAGAAATGGCGAGACTTTGTGAAATAGGTCAAAACCCTCAAAGGGTTATTCGACCATCGAAAGAAAGTAAATAAATAATAAGCATGCGGGCTTTTTCTACAGTAACTTCCAGCCACTTTCAGTCGAAGTCAAAATTTGACCAACATGGCAGAAAATTAATTACATATTATTAAATTTACTAGACAGTGGGGACCGACTTCAGTGAATAGACTATAACAATTAAGGTATCACTACAATGATGTATTTTTAATATTGTTCTAAAGCTATTTTCTTATAGCACCATAATTTAATTTTGATATTTTTTATCTTATTAATATTTCAAACATATTTTACAAAATAATTTAGAATTCGCTTCCGTTAAAGAACTCGTTGAATTTCTTGTTATATGTATTATACAAAAAAAATCGAAAAATTACCAATTTCCTTTGATTCTTTATCGTAAAATATTTTTAATTGTTCTAAATAGTGTCGAACAGTCTACTTAAAGATTCCAATTTACTGATAAACGAATGATTTGGAAGAACTGTAATGTCGAAAGGCGATTTATCTCTGGAGTAGATTTTATTATCACTATATTCGAGTATTTAATAATATAGGGTCACGAAACTAGCAGTTTTTTGATCAAACTCATTTAGCACTATACGTTAAACAATCTAGGCATTGTGTTCCAACCACTGGTTTCAATAACGTGATGTCTCAGACAGTGTTTGGTAAATGATAGACCATTTATTTCAATTTTATACCCGCTCCAAAAAGAAGATTTGAAGTTTAGTAAAATTATGTCACAGATATTGTTTGGTAAATGGCAGACCGTTTATTTTAATTTTATACCCGCTCCGAAAAGAAGATTTGAAACGTTTTAGTAAAAATGTCTTATATATGCAAATATACAGTCAAAACACGATCAATATGACGTATATTGACAAAACTATATGAGGTAAGGCAAAAAATGCATGTAAGTTGCAATTAAATTCACATCAATTAGTGGAACATTCCTAGATTAGGTATTATTTTTTGTTTGGACAATACGAGCCCTGAAAATTTATATTATATTAACTCTTACAGTATGTACAAATTAAAATTACTTTTGCAACGCCATATCTTATAACTGTTATTATATGGATACTATTCCCTACGCTATAAACCATTTCTTGAAATTCTTCGCTAGCGATTGGAGTTTTTCTCTACCAGCATTAATTACGAACAGAATTACATAAGGAAAATATATTAGATATATTTGATGAAAAAAAACAAAAACCAGATCAACGTGATATATACGGCGGCGTGGATGAGTTGATATATATATATATATATATATATATATATATATATATATATATATATATATATATATATACTATAAGTGTCTGCACTATTTCTAAGGGTGTGTCGGACTAACCCACAGAAATAGTGCAGACACTTTCATCAGTGAGTGAAATTCGTAAGAATAGTTTACTTGTATCACTATTGATGTCTTAGACAAGAAAAGAGAGAATATATATATTTTTCAGTAAATCAGTAAATTGAAGTTGAAATCAGTAGATCTACTGAATAATCAGTAGACCTGGTAACCCTGCGAGAGGTAGTAATGGACAAGTTACAGGCATCAAACATGGCGGTCACATCGAAACTGGCTTCATTTTTTCCAAGGTTTATTAAATGAGTGTTACCTGACCTCTCTCTTTCCTTGTCTAAGATTGATGTCAATAAGAGTTGCCGACAAAACGTCAGGTAGAAAAATTCCAATTCACGACCTATACAATACAATGTACCATTACAGTATCAATATACCTTTATGGATTAGGGACTCACACGATTGGATTGCTATTTTTATTACTCTATTCTCGGTTATTCGCATTATATGCTGGTTTCATCCAATTTTTTGTTCTTGATCCACCCATTTATTCTTTCCACTTTGCATTTTATATGCGTTGTATCTTATACTGGATGCTGTTTCTAATTATTTATATATTATTCTACGATAGATAGTATTCGAAACTACCCGTCAGAAAAATCATAGTATGTGGTTTGTCTTTAAAAAGACAACCACATCCAAAATTATGACAGTAAAATTCTCTCGTTAGTGATTCAGTTGTAAATTATGAGGAAAAACTCATGATACCATCCCGAAATGGTAAATATTTGGTCTTACATTTAGTTTACTTTTAATACATGTAGATGAATGCAACACTGGGGAAGGAAGTAGGAAATGGAATAATGAATAAATACTTGAAACAATATTCACCAATAGAATACAAAAATTAAAAAGCAAAGAAAATTTAAAAGAGACACCTAAAGAAACAATTAAAATGCATAAGCTAAGGGAACAAACAACGAAAAAGAGATACAAAGAAGAGTTGGAGATAGAGATGGAAAATGAAACATAAACAAAAGGTAAAGTAGAAATGGAATGGGAAATATTTAGTAATGTGATGATCAAAATAGAAAAGCAAGTATGTTGGGACACAAGAATATCAACAAAAGAGGGAAACAGAGGATATGGTGAATGGGGAGGTAAAAAGAGAAATAAAAGACATGAGGAAACTATGGAAAGAGTACATACAAGACCAAATCTAAGAAAAATATGAAAATTACAAAAGAGAGAGAATAAAAGTCGAGGAAATAGTAAAAATGATGAAAAGAAAAATTGGGACAAATTTAGGGAAAAATTGGGGAAACAGCAAAGGAAATGTATACTTATTTCACAGAACACTGAAAAACCTAAGAAGTAATCAAGACATAAAGTTAAAACACATAATGAACAAGGAAATGACAATAATAACCGATGATAAGGAAATATCATCATTGTTACCTGCAATGTTAATTTTGTTAACACAAAAGCTACCAATCAGGAAGAACTAGAAGTGAAATAAAGAAAGATACAGATTAGAAAGGCTTGAGGGAGCGGTGAAGAATGCTGAAATAATAGAGAAAAAGCAAAGCAAAAACTACTACAATAGAATTTAATATAGAAGAGAAAACATACACGGAGAGAATGGTAAAACGCAATAATTGTACCAATTCACAAGAAGCGAAACACAAAAGACTGTGAAAATCATAGTGGCACATCCCTGTTATATGTAGCAGCCAAAGTATACGCAACCAAGACCGAGTTATAAAGAAAAAATAGTGAAATGAAAACATTCATGTAATAGAGGAGGAAAACTGAGCAGTTTGATAAATTTGGCCCAGTCGAGTTATATTTGCTTTTGTTACAGACAAAACGTCAGAAAACTGCGGCGAACAAAACGTCTGCCGCAGTTGCAGACAAAACGCCAGAAAGAAATAACTCCAGACAACGGCTTATAATTCCGAAAACAATGTATCATTATAAAACACTGACCGCGAAAGCCTATACTCCTTGCTAAAACGAAATGTATCCCTATTTAAAGAAATAACTAGATACAATTGGTTAAGGAAGTAATAAAAAACAAAATAATTAAAATAAATCGTACACATTAATTAGCTTGGCGCATGTGATGTATATTGGACTTACGTTAAAATATTTTAGCTTGATAAAACGCATGATTAAAATCTGTTAAATTTTGTGAAATTTAGGAGCTGTCGTTAACTTTTAAAATACGTTAAAAATACTACTTTATAAGACATATCGGTTGTACTTTTTAAGTAATAATCACATAATAAATTTGACCAATCTGATCCTACCGATAACACAACCAATTACCTCGTAAGCGTGTTGGTTACCTGCATAGCTTCGTAAAATGTCAATTTAAAAGCTTAAATCAGTGCATATATCGACCGGTTGAATAAAAATTAAATTTTTATTCTAATCTTTACCTTCAATCTTTCATAGACTGCACTGACCAACCTAGAACTTTCCTATCAAAGCCTGTCGAGAATAAATTAACACCGAAAGCAAAATCGTCCGCCCAGGCAACACTGGACACCATCCTACTGTGTCCTTGGCGTCTGGATCGAGGCAGTCTGGCCAATCTCTGGCCTGTTAAATCGTACAATCTGATATGGCGGTTGTCGTGAGGTATGGCGATTACACCGTGAGAAGAAACGCTGATTCGATTAACGGAGGAGTCGACTCGTATCGTGGCAGTAGGTGATCGCATGTTTCGTAAATCCCAAACTTTTACGCTGCGGTCATCTGAGCTCGAGATTACTTTGTCTTCACGGTTAAAAACTGCTGATGTTACGCTCCTGAAAAACACATACTTATTATACTATAGTAAATTCAACTTCAAGTTACGGACAGAATCAACACAAGTCACCGCGTGATATTCGAGTCTACACGTGACGAACGCCTTGCTATTGGCCAAATTGTCGAACGATCGTAAGTCAGGCAGTTAGCCCTAACAGGTGCGGACTTCGTTTTTCCGCTCCGTCCTCTGTCGAATGCGAAATGGCCCAGTAATTTTTGTGCAAAGCTGTTTGTTGGTTTGTTTATTTGTTAATCGTTAGCTCGTGTGTGGATAGTGCAAAGCATTTTTAAGAACATTTAATTATAGTCGATACAAACTTTTTCCCCACTTTAAAATAATTCCTGTAAGTATAATAAAGCATTTATAATAGCCATAAGATAAGATATAATATCGACCTGCACTGATATGTTTAATGGATAAAAATTATTTAGTATGTTAAAAATTATGAAAAACAAGAGGTGCCCGATATAATTTTGTCCTGACTATAATTAATTTAAACTCTTTGCGGCACGAGATTTTATAAATTTTCTACAATGGACCCTTGGGGCATAGAAAGATTCAATTGCACACGTAAAAAGTAAAATGACCTCACTTTTCAAGAAACAACTGATAACCATTCGCGTTTGGCCAATAACTATACCGTGGGAATTTTACCAATTAAAGATAACACTTAATAGGGACAGAGGGAATAAGTAATACAAACCACTTGCGTAGGTGTAACTTGATAAAAATAGATTAATAAGTGATTCATTTTGTGGACTACTGTACAACATGTAGCAAAAATTTGGTGGTTCAAATTTCAATCCGATGTGCCGAAAAGAGTTAAAAAATACCTTTTTTTATATATTTAAAAAAAATCAACCCGGGCAGATATTGTTTTAGATTTTTTGGATCATTCTAAACAAAAATTTATTTTGTAATTTTTCTTAAGTTGATCGTGTTCGAGTTATAAATAATTTAAAACTGGAAGACAAGGAAGAATTGACAGGCGAACAAGAATTGACAGACGAAAAAGAATTGACAGACGAAGAACGATAGATGACGATTTTCAAGGATCAAAATCATTAGTAAAAAATATCACATTTACCAAAGCGGTGTAGGTAAACCTTATATCGGATCCTCTACTATAAAAGTAAATTTGAAAATGCCCATTTTGTTATTTTAGTTGAGAAAAGTATAATAAATCCATTTATTTAATATGTCTGATACGGAGTCGGCAAATGAAAATGAGGAACTGTTAACGCTAAGTCCTCCTAGGAAAAGAGCTAAGAAAAATCACGTAGATATAAGAATCAAAAAAATAATGGTTAATACATACAAATGTGAATTACAAGATAATCCTACTTTAGCGTTCCAAACACTGGAAAAAAATGCTATAATTGTAATGGACAATGCCCTTACCATTCCAGAAAATTGGAAAAAATTCCCATTATGGCTACAAAAAAGGCAGATATTCAAAATTGGCTTCGCTCAAAAGACATTCCCTTTGAAGAAACGATGTTAAAGGTGCAACTTTTAGAAATCGTTAAACAACATAAAGGCGAATATAATAAGTACATAGTAGATGAACTGGTAAGAAGCACAAATAGAATAGTTTTAAGGTTGCCACCGTATCACTGCGAGTTCAATCCAATCGAGCTTGTATGGGCGGAAGTCAAGAATTATGTAGCATGGCATAACACAACATTTAAATTTGCTGACATTAAAAATTTATTTCATGAAGCTGTGTCTGCTGTAACCATGGAAAAATGGAAAAACTGCGTCAAACATGTAAAAGAAGAAGTGGAGCCAAAAATGTGGGAGTTGGACAATTTAATTGAGGCACAAATTGAGCCTATCATTATCAACTTTAATGATGACAACAGTACATCAGATTCTGAAAGTTAAGATAAAATACGGTAATTTTATAAACTTTTTTTTGTATACTTTATTTTGTTGTTAATAACTCTCGACTTTGTAAATCATTTTTATATTTAAAAAATTGGTGTACTATAATCTGTACCTGTCAGACGTCTACAAATTATATAAGGTTTTGTATTGCAGCTTTAATTTACTAGTCCGGCCCTGAACAAACGCGTGTTTCCAGCGTGCATTTGTTTCCATCGTCCGTAGCTTGAAGTTGAATTTACCATAAATATAATAAATCAAATGGCATGCTTATATCCTAATCCAAACGATTATATAATAAACCTTCAAAATTGTAGGCATTAAATTCCAAGAAATGCTGATGACAACGGTGATTTTAAAAGTTAGAGGTATTTGTATTATTTAGAATGTTACAGTTATATTAAAAAAAAGGATACAAGTATTAGAAAGGGAAGTTAACGTCATCCTATTTGTGTAAAACCGGCTGGGATTTTTGGAGTTTATCAAATGTCATAAGTGATCAAAAATGCAACTCATAGACTTCAAAGACGTTTAATTTGATAGAAGGTTTAACGTTACGTACAATAAAAAATTAATATGCCTCGTCATTTAAGTGAGATTGAAAAGGCTCAAATAATTACGAAAATGGAAGAAGGATGGTCAATTCGTGCGCTAGCAAATTTCTATAATAGAAATTTGAAAACAATCTTCAGAATTAAGCAACGATGGGTCCAACAACAATCATTAAAAAGAAAAGTTGGTTCAGGGCGTTCCAAAGTATCCACTCCTCAACAAGATGCTGCTTTAGTTCAATTCTTAAGAGATAATCCATTTGCGACGTCGAAGGATTCAAGGATTCATACGGGATTTCCTGGTGCCCAACCTACTGTAAGCAGAAGGATCAATGAATCTGAATTAAAAAACCGACCAGCTGCTAAAAAACCATTAGTAACTGTTGAACATCGGCAAGCAAGAGTAATATTTGCACTAAACTATATTTACCGCAACCCACAATTTTGGAACAACGTCATTTTTACTGATGAAAAGACTTTTCAGTCGACCTATAACGGTCAAATCCGTGTTTATCGTCCAGCCAATACTAGGTTTGAAGAACGATATATTCACTCTCATAATAAATCTGGACGTTTTTCTGTAAATGTATGGGGTTGGATTAGTATACATGGACCTGGTGTTTGTTGGCGATTAGAGGGAAGATTTACTGCCGACAATTACATTAACGTTTTGGAACACGTAATGCTCCCTTCTATTGAGCAATTGTATCCTAATAATACTTTTATATATCAACAAGATAATTGTTCAGTCCACACTGCCCATGCCGTAAGGAATTGGTTTCAAACGCAAAACCTGGAAGTATTGCCATGGCCTGCGCACAGTCCAGATATAAATCCAATTGAAAACATTTGGGGCATAATTGTTAAAAAAATATATAAAAGAAATTTTATGCCACAAAATTCAGATCAATTGTGGGATACAATCTTAGAGTGCTGGGAAGATCTTGATCCAAATATGATATCTAATATAATTCAAAGTATGCCAAATAGACTAAATAAAGTTATAGAAGCAGACGGTTCTATCACCAAATACTAAATTCTATTTGTAACAGTCATTAAAATTATTCTTTATATAATTGTTGAATAAATGGTTTCGTCTAATTAATGCTCAACGCCAATGATTTATATTTTTAATAACCTGTGACATTTGATAACCTCCAAAAATCCCAGCCGGTTTTACACAAATAGGATGACGTTAACTTCTCTTTCTAATACTTGTACCCTTTTTTTTAATATAATTGTACAAAAATCTCATATAAAAAATTTGGACAAACCATTAGTACCTACATTTGTACCTAAATCTATTTTTAACTTATGTACAATTGCTTTGACTAAATGGGATAATTTAGAGAAAGACGTAGTTATCGAACCAATGATTTGACGAGAACCTAAAGTCCTGTTTATGTGACATCACAGGTTTAAACAAAATGAAAACAATAAATATTGATTATCCATCTGTACCAAATGTAACTCCAACAAATTTGAAGAAAACATTTGCTGGACCATCCAACACTTGAAAATGTACATGCTTTGGAAGATCAAGATGTATGTGAGTACATAGTAGAAAATTTCTATACTTGAAAACTGAAAATGTCAACATCAAAATCGAAACTTAGTGAAGTGAAAACATTAATGTTTATAATATGAGTCTTAGGAATTTGATAATATAATGTAAATATACTTACTCTGCATGCCTTGAAAGACAGACACCGAATGAACGTTTTCCCTAAAATCCCATAACCTAAACGTTGTATCCCTCGACGATGTTACTGCTAATTTTTGAGTTGGATGAGTAGCTACATGGTTAAGTTCCTGATCGTGACCTACAACATTTTATAAACTGTAAATATTCCTTCATTTTCTATTTTGAAATAACTCAGGAGTTTTGTCACGGAACCACGTTTTCACAAATTCGTTTTAATTCAGATGACATTTTGTGTAAACTTATGAAATCTACTTAAAATAGAATCAATTGAAACATTAGTTAGCACTGTATGTTCCTTATGATATGCCCCAGACATTAAAGTTTACGCTGTTGCATATTATTTCGGACACCACAATCTTTACCTATGCTGAATATCCTCTACATATGTTTTTTAACAAATTTTTCACAATATATAACTTTTTTTATAGCCCTTTTTCTATCCGAATTGTCGAATAAAGGCCTCTCCCATTTCTCGCCATTCATCCCTGTTGTGTGCTAGGCGTTTCCACATTGGTCCTGCGACTCTTTTGATATCGTCGCTCCAGCGCATTTGAGGTCTTCCTCTTGGTCTCTTCGCATCGTACGGTCGCCAGTTTCCGACTTCTTTGTTCCATCTACCATCTTCGAGACGTTCGTTGTGTCCAGCCCATTTCCATTTTAATTTAGCTGCTTGTTTCGCGGCGTCCTTTATTTTTGTTTTGTTCCGGATTGCTTCGTTCGTTTGCCGATCTATTAGTGAGATACCAAGCATCTGTCGTTCCATGGCTCGCTGAGTTTTTCGAATCTTGTCCATGTTCTTTTTTGTGAATGTCCAGGTTTGAGCTCCGTAAGTGAGAACGGGAAGGATACAAGAATCGAACACTTTGGTTCGAAGGTTTTGGGGTATCTTTTTGTCTTTCAGTATGTATGAGAGTTTTCCAAATGCGGCCCATCCCATTCTTACTCGTCTGCTTATTTCGGTAGTTTGGTTTTCTTTGTTTACCTTGATATTCTGACCCAGATATATGTATTCTTCTACATGTTCCACTTTTGTTCCTTGGATGGTTATCGTCGGTTGATCATCTTTATTCGACATTAGCTTAGTTTTACTCAGATTCATTTTCAGTCCTTTTTTATGGATTCCGTATGAAGCTCATCGATCATCGTCTTCAGTTCTTTCCAGCTGTCGGCTATTAGTACTACGTCATCTGCATATCTTAGATGGTTTAAATACTTTCCGTTTATCGATAGTCCCTTCGTTTCCCAATTTAGTGATTTAAAGATGTCTTCAAGTGCGGCAGTAAATAGTTTTGGAGATATGGTGTCTCCCTGTCTTACTCCTCGGTTGATTTTTATTGGCCTCGTTTTCATTCGAAATTATTTTTTGTGTATTAATATTGTGTTAGCAGTATTCCATTCTTTTGGTATGTTTCATTCAAATAGGCATTTATTAAAAAGTATTTTTAGGTACCTGATGACTTCTTCTCCGCCTTCTTTCAACATTTCTGCCAGAATTCCATCACTACCCGGTGCTTTATTTTTTTTCATTTCTTTAATTGCATTTTCTATTTCTACTTCGCTTATTTCGGGCATTACTTCAGAATTTACGTTTGTTATTTTTCTTTTCAGATTTTGCTTTGAAGAGTCGGGGGAGGAATATATAACTTATTATTCTTTATATGAATAATATATATGAATATCACAATGGACTACCAAAAATTAAATGTCATATCTATCTGTAGCCCCGAGGACTGCAAACCTAAGGAGGAACGAGAGGCATTCTACGAACAATTGCAATCCATCCTGGATGAAATACCTCATAAAGGGCCCTTAATTCTTATGGGTGACTTTAATGCATGAATCGGAAATGAAATAGTTCCATGAGTAAAACAAAGATTTAATGAAAACCATGTCAACGCAAATGGAGAACTCATGGCTAATCTCTGTGCTTTTAACGAACTCAGAATCAATAATACATTTTTCGACCATAAGCTCCAGTATAAATATACATTTGAAAACTCCAGGGGCATAAATCTATGATTGATTTTATAGTCACTAATAGAAAAATCCACCCAAAGCAAATTCTAGATATCCGAACTTTAAACTCAGCAGACGCAGGGAGTGAACACAAACTAGTACTAGCAAAGATAAGAATGAAAATAACACCAAAACAAAATTTTCTACAGGAAATCACCGAGGAAAAATTCAATGTAGAATCACTGTGGAACGACTCTACAAGAGAAATGTACCAAAGGAGGCTAGCACAGAAGATACAGCTGAAACAAATAGACGACATCGAAGATATAAACGCGAGCTGGGAGAAAATTAAAAACAACATTGAAGAAGCAGCAACAGAAGCTCTAGGAAAACGCAAAGTCATACTGAACAAAAGAAACAACAACAATACACCATGGTTCAGAAAAGAAATAAAAGAGAAATGTAAAGAGAAACGAGAGGCCTACACGAAGTACAAAACATCAAATACCCCAGAATCCCGAGACAACTATAGAAGAATACGAAATGAAACAAAGCAGTTGGTAAGAAGAACAAAAAATGAACACTGGGAACAGTTTACAAAAAGGATGGAAAGCGACTTCTACGGTACACAAAAACAAATATGGAGATTTATAAGAAACCAACGGAAAGAAATGGCAGAATTGAAGGAATACAATAACATACCAGCAAAACGAATGGAAAAGATACCTGACGGAACTGTTTAAAGCAAAGGAAAATAATAATCAACACAATAACGTACCTGAATTAAGACACGAAATAGAAATCAGTTTTCAGGAAGTAGAAATAGCCATAAATTCGCTCAAAAATAGAAAGTCACCAGGACCAGACGGAATAACCAACGAGCTTCTAAAATACGGAGGAGAAAGTATAACCCTAGAGATGACAAAACTTATACAAAAACTAATATTGCACTGCAAGATACCAGACGCAAGGAGAAACAGCATAATGATACCAACGTTTAAGAAAGGAGATAAAGAAGACCCCAACAATTATAAAGGTATAAATCTACTGAATACCGCACTTAAGCTTACTCACACAAGTCCTAACCAATAAAATCAATAAACTAACAACAACAAATCCAAAGTTTTCCATAGCAGATTCTGCCTCATCTTGTTTGAATCGAAAATTTGGCGTTGAAATCTCCAATTAACATTGTATAATGGGTTTTTGAAGTTTGTATAGCTGCTCTGCTATATTCATAAAATTAATCAACTTCCTCATCTAAGTAGTTCGTTGTTCGTGCGTAAGCCTGTATAATTTTAAGTTTCTATCTTGGATTTAATTGAATAATAAGATAAATGGCCCTGGTACATATTTTTTATTGTAATTATGTTTGGGAAGGGTTTAATAGCGATTCCATAATGTTTTGGGGTAACTGCTTTGACTTTACTGCGACTACAAAATAAATTCCTATATTATGAAATTATCAGTAACAGTTATAAACAACATTTATGATTAAAAATGCTAGATATTCAATTTCAAAAACTCTAACACTCCAATTCACGTGACACTAACCGACAAAACGTGGCAGAGTTATTGTGGAAGTACCAAAAGGACTGGTTTTCAAACAGGGGATTAAAACAGGTAGATCTCTTGTTAACCAACCTATTTATTTTATTACAGTAATAGAAAAAATAATTAGAAGTGCACCATTTTAAACAATGGTGGTCTTATAAGTAACCTCTTTTAAATGAAAAATATGTTTTCCAACAAATTCTTTGTTTTATTCCATATAGTCTCCTTTTAATCAGAATAATACGATTCTGGAAGTTCTGCAAAATAACCATTTTTTCAGATTTGGGAATACATAATCGGAGGGAGCTAAATCACAAGAATAAGCCGGATAAGAAAGCAATTCGAAATCCTACTCATGAATTTTTGCCATTGTCACAACGCTCTTGTGAGCCGTGCACAATAATATTGCCTGTTGATAGTTTACCTTTTTTAATTCAGTCTATCAAAATTATGCCTTTGCAATCCCAAAATGCAGTGGCCATAACCATTCCTACCCATTGGGCCCCTCTTGACAGCTTCGAAGCATTTTTACCAGCTTCAGTCCACTCATTTCATCGACGGTTACCAATCGACGCCAAAAGTCGGACATATTGCGCTTCATAAAGTCAAATGTTGCTGAGAAGTGGTCACCCGACCATGTTTTTGGTTAATGGTCAGCAAACGCGGCACCCATCGGCAGGAAAATTTTTTCATATTCAAAACTTTCCTCAAAATATGGCTAGTAATTCTAATGCTCTTTACTACTACTACTAGAACTCTTCAGTATTTCTTTTGGCGTCTGCCAATTCACGGACATTCACTTTACGATCAGCTAAAACCATTTCATGGACTTTTGCCTAAAATTTGACATATAATGCTAAAAAAGATTAGAATTGCTCTAATCGGCAAAGGAAGTACTATCACACCACCAGATAGATAACAATGCATATAGGGTAGAGGCACCACTTATGGCCCCTTTAAGTATTATTTTTCTACTGAGAAACATGTAGGATTCGAATAAAATCTTTCCGCTTAATGCCATGTTTACTTTCAAATCAGCTTTACTAGGAGATCAACTGATCATAAAGATTCTATTTCAGAATGAAAATATAATATTTTACAAACAAAATTTTTTCTAAAAAAATTTCATTACATTTGCCAATAATTAAATCTCACCTGCTAACGTAGTAACAAGCTGACCAGTATCAACATCGTGCAGAATGGCTAGTCTATCCCATCCTCCAGTAATAATTTGATCGGCTCCTGCTAACCACTCTGCAGAAGCTACAGGAGAAGTGTGTCCCTTTAATTCTTGAAAGGGTGTTCGTAAAGTTGCAATTTTGTTTATTTCAGATTTATCCTCCATCTCATCAGCTTCTAACTCTTCTTCAGATGATTGTCCCCTCTACAAAAATATATAAAATAAATTCCTCCCACAATTGATATTCTTTCAGCATAAATTTGGCTTTCCGCTACCTTTTAACGCAAAAATACCATATTGGTCAGTACAAAAATCTCATACAGGCGAAAATGAAATATATATTTCTTACTCACCGGTAATTCCCAATTCAGTGCCGCTTGCCAGATATGAGCTGTACAGTCTCCGCTTCCAGTAAGGACTAAATCTTTCGCTGGATGAAACCTAATTGAATTTACAGATCCTGTGTGGCCTTGATACTGTAGCAGACATTTTGCACGATCTATGCTCCATAAACAGGCAGTGTGATCTGAAATGTGCATTAATAAAAATATATAACCTATTTTTTTTCAATTTAAAATATACAACTTTAACGCCTGTCATATTTAATAAATACATATTAGCAATACTTCTTGTCACTCTTGTACGGTCTCCTTACTAAGGATAGCGATCCAAATTGTAGCTTTGGGAACTACTACACGAAAGATTTTTGCGAATGAACGGTCAAATCATCTCATCAGGACTTACAGCTACGAGTTCTGGCGTCTTGCCACTGATCTTTTATCCTGTACTATACTTTCCAACATGATTCGGAGTAATTCATATCTTTCATCTCTTAACATTTGACCCAACCTCTCTGTATCTGTAGAGTAGGGAAGACGAGCACTTGGGCCACAATTCCCAGGGAGCTGTCGTCCTTAGCTCATTGTCCATCCTGCCATTTCTATGAAGGTGGACAAGTCACCAGGGTACATATCCCTTTATTATTATTATACCCCACTTTATTCTTCGGTTCAGTGATCTGAAGTATATCTCACATTCTGAGCCTTCTTCCATTTTGGAGCCATCGGTGTATATGCAATAAGCATTTGCCACGTTTGTCTCCTTATACCGTCTTGTTTCGATTTTGTAGGGTTTGTGAAAGACAAACTTTGGTTTAATTGAGTCGCAGCCTGCCTGTAGCAGGGGTAGCGCATCCAGCTCTCCCGCCAGAAATGAGTTATAAATTGTCCCATTCCTACATCAAGGTTTGCATAAGCTGAGCACAGTCGCATCATTGTTACCAGAGCCACCTCTTTGACATATATCTCTAGAGGCGTGATGCCAATGACCAACTCCATTGCAGTAGTTGGTGTTCATTTCATGACACCTCTTATATTTATGCAAGCCATCCGCTGAACATGGTGTAGTTTGTTAATCGCTGTTGCCTGTAGCACCTTTGGTACCCAAGCAATAGTTTCGTAAGTTAGCATTGCATGCGCTTTTAGCTCTACCATCTAAGTGTGAGTTCCATGTTAACTTCCTGTCAAGGGTAATATCAAGGTTCTTCACCTCGTCAGAAAAATCTAGACTGTAGTTAAGAATCCTTGGGGGTATTAAGCCCGTGATCCTTGTTTTTCTGGTGAAGAGGACCATCTCTGTCTTCTTACGAGTTATAGATAGTGAGTGTTTCTATTAGTCGGAGAGCAAATTGTAATCTCTCACACCCAACTTCCCTTTGATTATGCTTAGTAATTCTTTTCGTTGGTACCTCGTTTGTACCTCATCGCTGGTAACTTTTTGCATTCATGGAATTCTCAGAATCCATCTGTATATAACTTCTCAAATGCATTTTTTTTCTATTTCAGAGTCCATTGTCCAACTTTCACAGCCGTACAGCAAGACAGAGAAAACGAAAAATCTGATCATTCGGATTCTGAGCTCTAGACTAAGGTTTGATCTTGTAAAAATATTTTCATGTTCATAAGTGTTTTCCTAGATTGTTCGCTTCTTGATAGATTTGCTTTTTTTGGGTTACACTGGCTGTTTATATTTGCTCCCAAATATTTTATGGAAGTTACCTGTTCTATTATTAATTGTCCATCAGCATACAAATGTAAATTTATTGGTATCTTTGAAAATACTAGTACTTTAGTTTTGGAAATATTAGACCGAACGCTATGACGAACTATTGAATTTATTATACTTTGTAGTTCTTGTAGCACCAATAATAGAGATATAACAATAACAATGGGGGATTTTAATGACAACTTAGGAAAAGGCAAATTCCAAGACATTATTGGTGAATTCAGACTAGGAATAAGGAACGAAAGAGGGGAAAGACTGACGGAATTCTGTCAGGACTTTGAAATGATAGCGACAAATACATTCTTTCAGTTGCCACCACGTAGATTATATACATGGAAATCACCTGCGGATAGCAACGAAAAAATTATCAGAAACCAGATAGATTATATCCTTATCAATAAGAGATACCGTAACTCCATCAAATCGGCAAAGACATATCCAGGAACAGATGTGTCATCAGACACAATCCATAACGTAAAATTCGAAATCCACTTAAAGAAAATAAAAAAATAACAAAACACAACAAATAAGCACTCTGCTAAAACAACCGAATATAAAAGGAGAACTAAAGCTACGGTTAGTTAGAACAGTGCGCAGCGCACAGCAGAATCTGTTGTACTCGACTCACAGCAGTTTTGGGTGTTAGATTATTTCGCATAAATATAATCATCATCATCACCAATGGTGCTACAGCCCTATGAAAGAGCCTCGACCTTCCCAAGTCTATTACGCCAGGCAGTCCTATCCATTGCCAACCGTTGCCAGTTTGCTGCGCCTATCTTTCTACCATCCTCATCTACACCATCCTTCCATCTGAGTTTTGGCCTTACCCCTTTTTCTACTTCCCACGGGTTATGACATAGGGATTCTTCTAGGAGGGTTGTTCGTTACTCGAAAATAGCTGTGATGATTGCCAACCTCTTTAGAGGAGACAATACCTAAAGAAGAAGTAGTTCTTATGCGTTGCTTGCTGTATGATTAGCGTACCTCATGTTGTCTATGCTGGGTCTATTGACTTTGATTCCACCTTGGACCTTGTCTAATGCTTTTCTGAATATAGATTCCGAATACAGATTAAATAATAGTGGTTATAAGACGTAAGATATGTTGTGTGCTATATTTCAATTTTTGTCGTTTGGTGCCAGTTCCGAAATAATTCGCAAGTGTTGTTCGTCAATTCCAGTTGTTCTCAGAATTTCGATCAACTTTTGATGGTTAACACATTCAAATGCTTTTCGATAATTAACAAAACATGCATATACTGCACTTCTTGTAACTTCGTGTATGGAAGATTCAGAGAAAAATTTTAAGGACGTGAGACATCAAACTTAATATGCGATAGTTATCGCTTGGAGTTCTATGGCTTTGGCATTTGCAAATTTCGCTCCTGTTTAAAAATACACGTCTCCAAGAAATGAACGCACCACTTCAATAAATCAATTTTATTTGTAAACAGGCAAAGAATAAAAAAATAAAACTTCACCAGATTTATTCTACATTTTATTAGTAATTATAACAATTTGTCTAATCATCAGAAAATGTTGAAGTACAGGAGGAAAAAAAATTAAACGGAAAATTGTAAAAAAATAATGATAACAAAAGTAAACTAAAGTATGAAAAACGTCTTAATAACGAGTGTTTCCACCTCTACTAAAATTAATTGCCGTATTTCATTTTGGTCTAGTTCTCTCCAAATCTGCATCAGCCTCTCTCCCACTTCCTGTAAGTTGTTTGGTTGGAGCGGTGTCGCTCTTAATCGTCTACCAAGTATATTCCAGATATTTTCAATCGGACTTAAATCCGGACTATGTGCTGGCCATTCCATAGCGTTAATTTCTACCTCTTCTAGATAATTTCTGACGATCTGTGCAGCGTGAGGCATTATCTTGCATTAGTAAGAAATGGTCACCGATATACGGAGCGAATGGTACTACATGTTGCTCCAGGATCTCCAATATGTACCTTTCGCTGTAACAGTTCCATTTTGTATGACCACTAGGTCAGTACGTGCGGTCAAAGAAATACCAACCCCACACCATAACGGTCCCTCCACCAAAAAATGTGGTGTGTGAGAAGTTACACTTAACGTGTAATTAACGTGTTCTCTGGCAAAATGTAGTCTCCCCCTTCGATGCTCTGCAGTTAATAGAGGACCTCGGGCGGCAATCCTAGGTGTTAAGTTGTATTCCCTAAGTCGTTGGGTAACAGTTTCAGTACTAAAGTCCTTACGTTCAGTCGTGATAGCCAGCGTAAACAAGTAGGCGTGGTCTATTGTTTCAGGACTGGACTTGTTTTCGGTGATGTTCTGTCTACGTTCATTTTACGTTCATATCATTTTTAATACGTTTGTAATTCTTTAATACTTCCCAATTTTGTATTGTTTAAAAACGGCTTTCAAAAAGATAGGGAAAATGATTATTTTTGAAATTCTTAGTATGCTATACTATAGAAATAATCTAAACAAGATGTTCCGGCCAGTCTTAGCGAATTTGAATAACATTAAAGTAATACCTACCTTAAAAGGTTTGCAGGTATAATAATAAACTATAATCTTTTAACAACAGGGCAATATCTTAACCATAATAAAAGTATTTTAATTTGAATATTTCTTATGTAGCATTCTGTGAATTTTTATAGATAATAATTTTATGGTATTTCCTAAAACTTAAGATCGTTGGTGGTCAATGTCTTCATTTAACAATGAACATCGCGCATCCCTATTCAGTATCAGTCGAGTAGTTTCGCGTTAACGTTTATTTCTGTATCTCGATCTAAAAATGAACTATTTGTGTTTATAATAATTATTTGTTTGCTAATTTAAAGTTTATGTGGTAGTTTTTTAGTTTTATTAAGACTTTTCAAAGTTGTGCGTTCTAATTTTTAATTTAAAATAGTAGTTTTTTAGTTTTATTAAGTCCAAGTTTGTGCGTTCTAATTTTTAAGTTAAAATGTCCAGTTCTACCGATTCTGCGGAGGAAGTTACACCAAAAAAGCGATCAAAAATGCGTCCTTTTAGTAGTACTGAAAAAAGTGTTATTTATAATGTTTATACATCGACAATAGAATCGCATCCAGAAGCTTTGGTATCGGAAATAGTGAAACAGACAGCTATTTCTTGTGGCGTAGGTGAAGCTTCTGTGTACAGAATTCTTAAAGAGCAGAAGAATACCGGAACATTTTCTTCCCCGAAAAAGACTAAGCCCAGGAAAACTATATTGGACAAAATTGATGATGCCGATAAATCGGCCATACGACGAATTGTGCATCAATTTTTTTTTAAAAACGAAATACCTACTATACACAAAGTTCTTTCAGTTGTTAATGAGGACGAAAGCTTGCCGAATTTTAAAAGCACTACATTTTATAAACTCCTCAAATCACTTGATTTTAAATACGTACGGAGGGGCAGAAATAGTGCTTTGTTAGATCGAGACGACATCATCTTGTGGAGACGAAATTTCT